AGTTTAGGTCATTAAAGATAAATAAGAATTCAGGATTGAAGCAGTTACTTAGGCTATTTGTTGCATGTAACTTGGTTTAGACAGTAAAAACGCAGCAGAGAGTTTCCTTATTTCTTTTGAAAGAAAAATCACTTTCTGCATTTCACATACTGGTCCAGTATATTAGGGCTTCTTCCACAAGCTGCACAGAAGTTTTTAAAGAGAAGAAAGAAGCACTTCCCCTCAAAAAAAGTTAAAATGGGCATTTTTATAGCTATGCTGTCTCCTAGATACAGCACTTTAAAACTGATCACCTTGAAAGAAACAAACCAAAGATAAAACTGGGACCTGCATGAAAGAAGTAATCCGTAAACCTCGGTCTGTGCCCAAGGCAAAAGCCAGCAGCATCATGCACCCCAATGCAGCCCCAGTCTGGGCTGGAAACGGCACTGCCTCTGCCTGGGGCAAAGTGCCACTTGAGCCTGGGGATCCCCAGGTCAGAGCTCTGTTCGGCCAAGGGAAAGAGCGCCAGCCCCCAGAGCGCATTCATCCTACTCTGACAAGTCCTCAGGGATGCACAGTATAGGAATTGTTCTTACTCAAGGCAACATCACTCAGACAGCACAAAGATGAGCCCAGAATGAATTCATACATTGTAAAATTGAGTTACCAAGAAACTCAGCTTCAATCTGAAAGAAAAAGCAGGGTGAGAAAACACCAGTCTCAGCACATGGTAATTCTAAGAATCTGGAATGTCTCTTTTCTAGACAGCAGAGGCACAGCCAACGAGATAGACAAAGCGCCTCCAGGAAGCCATTCTTCCAGTTGAAGGAAAGCAGAGGCAGAAGTGTATTTCCACAAGGCTACACATCGGGTGCGCCCCATTACCTTCCCTGGAGTCCGCCAGCACTTGAGGACAGACCCCGTTTCACCTCCTGGGCTGCCCCCCTGCACCGCCTGGCACACTGTTCCCATTCACCCACTGGGGACTCAACCTACTGGACGCTGTGAACCCAGACCTCAGGACATATAGTTCAGTATTACCATCAAGAAACACCCATCTTCGGAACTTTGTAGCTCATTCCGGATAGCTCAGTATTGCTTTCACACACCACATATTTTTTAAATCTGTTTTTTTTTTTTTCAGTGAGAGTTTTATGTCACAAGCTCTGTCCATTCTCACCAGCGGAACAAATTTACAAAAGCATTACAACAGCTATTCACACACAAGTTACTCATGCGGCCAGACAAACACTGTAACTTGTAACACATTTATCTGGCTCTCCTCATTCAGAGCAGCACATCTTCAGATCTTCAGGATTTGGCTTCTCTCCTCCCCTTCTTGCCCCCTACAACTTTGTTCTTATGCTCATGTTTCCCTGCATAAATACAAAAACATTCATCCATCATTTTCGCTGAAGGGTGGTGCTGGGATACAGAATAGAGAGTGTTCATGTGGGCAGCAGTATTGGCTTGAAATGTGTCATGCTGGGGCTCATTTATGTTTTTAAGAGACTTCAGAGCCACATTGTAGAGATTTTGGTACATGATTTAATGCATCTAACAACCGTGTTCTGTCAAGCAGAAGAGCACTCCCTTCTGCAAAGCCATATTAAAATCACCTTCACATCACTTGCAAATGCTGAACTGGCAACCTAACTGTCCATCTATCTTGTTGCTTCCACCTGCTGGAAGAAGCACTGCACATCATACTTTGTTATTAAGAATTAGCAACCAGCTGCTTATGCAACAACATCCAGACAATAAATAAATACATAAATAAACAAACAAATAAATAAGTTGTCTCCATCAGCACTTAGTCACACTGTAGGGTCGTTCTGGCGGTGGGTAAGAGGATATGGAAACTTCCAGTTCTGAGACCCCAGCTTGAAGTCAAGCCCAAGCTAACACTTACAAAATACTCCTGCCATACAGGGCCCAAAAACCTTTGCTGGTCTCCTGCTGACATTAAGCAAGGAGGTGTGCCTCCTTTTTGCACTGGTGCCGCATGCCGCAGAACCCATCATAACAGTGAAGGCCAGTGGTCCTCCAGAGCTGGAGCCGCCTGTCAGGGCTGTTCTATCCAACAGGCACGGCCATTGGAAAACTGACCGCTGCCACGTGCTTGTGGCAGAGCAGCTACGCAGAAGACCGGTAGGGTTTGTAAGGTTAGCTCCAGCACTGCGCTCAGCATTGAGCCGGTTCCCAACCACCTGGCTGGGAATAAACCTCCCCAAGCACATCAGGGCTGTCCAACAGCACGGCCAGCCGAGGACGGGTTAGTCACTGTCCCACGGCCTGGTGGAGCCAAAGGAGGGAGGGCACTGCACCGTGACACTGGGACTCAGCCAGCAGCAGCTCCTCCTGCGTGCATCAGGGCAGAGCTGCAGCAGGGCAACCTCGTGCCAAAAAGGCAGCAGCAGCTCAGCGAGTGCATTTAACTGATTGTATGAAATAAAAGTCAGCTGTGGGAGTGCAGAAAGAGGAAGGGTGGGGGAAATCAGCTCCGCTTCTAGATCGAGCTCTGTAAATTACAAGATCTTAATTACATTAAATACATTATGGTACCATATGCATATCGCTAGTAAGGCAGGGGTGGAGGAAACGTGGCTAGCTGCTAAGGCTGTAAGCTGCACTGCTGTGCTCTACACTTGGTATTCAATTCAGAAAGTTTCTTAACAACTTTGTCCTAGTTTAGTCACCCACAAAACAAAGGCAATAATCCCTTCTTCACAGAGGTGATGAGAGGTTTAATTAATTAATGTTTACAGAGCCCACTGAGATTTCTGACTGACACTTCAAGTCATTCAGAATACCATTTCATTGCATTTGTTTCTTCTGCTGCCCTGCTCAAGCGTCTCCACATTAAGATATCCAAAGAAGAAGATGAAAAAAAAATAGAGATAAGTATACAACAATGAATCCAGCATTTCCAACCCACTGCTGCCCATCAGCACTCTGAGTGCTGCCTTTTCTGCAGGCAAAGAACTCTGTGTTTATCCAGACACCTGGTGCCCTTTTCTCGCAGATCTGTTACACTCACATCTCTGCCGTTTTTGCCCCAGAGCACCGTGTAGGTAAGCAGGGTGCTGGATGGCAGAAATAGCCGGCGAGCAGTCGGGCTGACCAGACTGCTAGAGGCAGTGAGAGGGGAGAAGAGTAGAGGGATGAAAGCCCCTGAAGAGAACCAGCAAGTGAGAAAAGAGGCAGAGAGAGAGGCGAGCTGAATGTGGGAGCGCCCATCGCAGCCGGGGGGACTGCACGCACCGAGCTATTCCGTGCAGCGTGTTCCCAGGGACTCTCAGGTACATGGAGCACGTTACCCCGAGAGCAGAGCAGCGTGAACGAGGCCACACGTGTGTTCAAGTGCCGGAGAGAAACTGAGCTCTAGGCGCCCGCAGACGCGCGGCACAGCCGGGGCTGCTGACACCTGAGCTGGGATGTCTCGGTCCCTACATTGTCCCCGGCTCGGAACGAAACCTTTGTGCGGGCAGTTTCTGTAGGGGGCGTTTGTGGGTTTTCAGATACAATCAAAACGCAGATAAATGCAAATGTCATTCGGCTCCCTTTCATTGTCAGGAAGGACACATGAGGATAAAACGTTGTGCGCTACGTCCTTTCCCCTATTATACGTCCTACCGCTTTCGTCCTAATTTACTCCATGCATAATTTATTTACATGTGTATTGTTTCCCGATCAGCAACTTTAAAGAATGAGTGAAAATTATAAAATGTTTTATTAAACAACTTCTCAATAAAAAATACAGGTGGTACCGGGCAGCCCGCGCCGGTCCCACTTCCCCCGCTCAGCACAGCACTTGGGCAGGCAGGGAGAGGAGCTGCCCATTGTTCGCGCTCTCCCACGCCGCGCGAGAGGAGCCGAGCGTGCCGCTGCCCTCCCGGCTCTGCACGGCGAGGCCGGGGGCCGGCCGCTCGTCCCCCCCCCACCCCGGGGCTCCCGGGTAGCGCTGCCCGCGGAGAGCGGCTCTGGAAGCCGGGCGGGAGCTGTGAGCGGGACAGAGAGCCCGGGGCGGCAGCGCGACAAGTTGCTACGGGCGGCGCGAGTCCGGAGAGCGGCGGCGGCGGCGGCGGGTACCGAGCCCCGGCCCCGGGATCCCCTTGAAGGAGCGCGGGGCACCTGCACTGCTGCTGTCCGCGGCCGTGTGGGCGCTGCGGAGCGCACGCGAAATGAAAGCGAAGGTTTTCCGGGAGAGCCGGCAAACGTGTCAGCGCCTCTCCGCTGCCTGAGGCTCTCCCTCCCTGCAGACAGCGGAGAGACGGCGGCAAGAGTCCCCGAAACCACCTCCGAGTGGTTTTCCAACTCCAGCCGGAGGAACGCGAGTCAAAAACAAACAAACATAAAGAAGCAGAAGAAAAGAAAGCAGAGCCACCCCGCAGCCCTCACTTCGGCTCCGGACTCCGCTCCGCGCGGCCGCGAGTGCGGAGAAGTGCCGCCGCCAGGTGCCCGCGCTGCGCTCCGTCCGCGGGAGCGCTGCCCCGGGAAGGAGAACTCTCCCGTAGGAGGTTACGCGGAGCCGGATCGCGCTCTCCCTAATGCTCCGGGATTAGCCGCGCGCGCCGCGACCGAAGGGAAACACAGGAGGAGAGCCGGGCGGACGGCGAGCGGTCTCACGTCTCTCGCAGGACGGGGACGCCGGTGGCGGCCGCAGCCAAGGCTCCCTCCCGCCCCCGGTGCCCGCTCCAGAGCTGCGAGAGGCATCAACTCTTCGGCGCTCGGAGCGACGGAGCCTTCCGCGCGCACGGCGGCCGCTGCGCCGCAGCCCCGCGCCGCACCCCGCTCCCTCGCGGCACGGAGCTCCCCGCTGCCCGCCCCGCCCCGGCCGCCGGACCCCGCGGGACGCCGCCAGGTGCGCGCCCGGGGCCGCAGGACGCGCCGCCCGCCCGGAGCCGCCGAGCCGGGGCCGCGCGCGGAGGCGGGGATCCGGGGACGGGCGCGGCGGGCGGGCGCCCTTTCTCGTACCGGAACCACGCGGAGCGTGTGCGGTTCTGAGCCCTACTTACGCTTTCAGGGGGTTGTGAATGACAGTCGCCATTTTGCTACAATGTAACAGAATATTGTGTCTCGGAGTTCTAAAGGTTCGCTCAGGGGAAGCGGCCAGCCAATCGGCACGCGCCGTGCCGGCCCGCCGCCCAATCGGGCGTCGGGGGCGGAGCCAGCGCGCTGCTAGTTATTAGGGGAGCTGTCAAAGCCCAGAGGTCGCTCCCTGCCTGTGGAGCGGGCGGCGAGCGGCCCTTAAAGGGGCAGCGCCCGCACGGGGCACGCGGCCGGGCGTCTCCTGCCAGCGGCCACCCCCGGGGGAACCGCCCCGCCCGGCGCCCCCCCCCGCCGGGCCGGCACCGCCGTCCGCCCGTCCCCCGGGAGCCGCTGGCGCTCGGCAGAGCCGCTTCCCCCCAGGAATTTCGCTCTCGCGTCGGGCGGCCGCGGCCCCGCGCCCTTACATAATGCCCGGCGGCACTGCCCGTCGCGCCCCGCCCCGTCCGCTCCCGGGACGGGACGGCCATGGCAGCGACAGACGGCGGCGGGGACGAGTCCCGGGAGCCCGCAGCCACCTGCCGCTACTCCGAGGGGCTCACGAGGAGTTGTGGAGCGCGGCCGAGAGACCGAAGGAGCCTGCGGACGCGGAGGCAAATCGCCGGAGTGGATGCAGTTACACCGCGAGAAGCAGGCACGGTCCGAGCCAGGAGCTCTCGCCTCGCCCTGCGGCGGCGTCTCTCCGGAGGACTCCCTTCCCTTCGGGCACCTCTGTTCATCCAGAAACAACAACAACGCCTGCCTCTCCTCTCTTCGCATTCATATAACCAGAGGAAACTCAACTGCGGGCAGTTAAAGCATTCCCCCGTCACAAGAGCAAGATAGGCGCCTACAGAGCTAGCCAGACCCACAACTTAATGAAAGAATGGAAGTAAACGTTTGAGAGATGTTCAGATGTAACAGAGAAAACAGCAATTGCTGGGCTCATGGGATGAGCTTTGCAAGTGCAGAAAAACAAAATCTTTCCCAACTGTTTGTCAAAATAAAACTTTCTAATGCGTGGGCAGCAGAGAAAAGGATGAGAGATGGAGAACAGAGAGGTACAGAAATTATTACAAGCAGATAAGAAGGGGAAAAAGCAATGCATCACTTTCCCATTCATGCAGGATTTGGCAGGTTTGTCAGAAGCTAAGCCTTCCTTAGTGTGCCTTGGGTCCTCCCTTCCCAAAGCACCACCTGCTCCAGCTCCAAGGCCAACCTGCCCACTGTGTGCTCCCAGAGGGAACCATCTCCCCCATCCGAGCCATTTGGTTACTGGAGAAACAAGCTTCCTGTCAGCTGGAGAGTTGCCAGACTGCCGAGATGTATCCTAACCACGGTTCTGGGAAGCAATCTTTAAGAACGTTTCCATCATCGTATTACATTATATTATTTTGTCTGGTAGTGGTCCAGGTGACATTGACTGTAACTGCAGAAACCCCTGTTCAGTACTCACACTGTTCACAGGAAAAGCTAACCACAAACTGCCGAGTTCTCACAAGCACACGTTGCTGTACACTCTGCACAAAAATGAATGGGTCTGCATGCACCTGAACTGGTGACCCTCAACCAGTGACCTGAATCACACCCCACTGCCACAAAGATTTCTGGTTTGATGCACTGTTGTGCTATTTACCCAGCGACAAAAATGATCCAAAAGTTGTCATTTACCCCCGGACAGCCAAATATCCAAGTGAGGGATAGCAACTCCTTTGCTTCATATGACAAGAAAATCAGCCCAAAACCACACAGTGCTGCAGAACTGGAGGCAGCATTGGGCTGCTGAGGGAAGGCACCAACATCCGGCTGTGCTCTAAGAAGTCCTGATATACCCTAATACAAAATGGTGACGCTTTGAGAGAATTAAAACAAACCCATTTGAGGTCATTTTCAGAAGTGTAACAAGACCCTCTGACCCTTTTTGGATGGAGATAAAGGCCCATTCCTGCTCTGCAGGCACAGAGATCTCAGCACACTCTGCAGGGAGTGTGGCTTTCTCCTGCTCCTGCAACAGCCCTCCTTCCCTTGCTGCTCCTTCCACATGGGCACTGGGCCTATGTCAGCCACCAGCAGGCACAGATAACCACCACAGTTAGTGGCCAGGGGAGCGTCAGAGCTGCCCTGCTCAGAGAGGTCCCAGCAGGCTGAGTGCAGAGCAGCCGCACCAGGGCCCATTTCTGCTCCACCTCTGCAGATGGAGACATTCAATCCTGCTCACACCTAGCTGTCCTACAGCACATTTCATGGACAACTGAACAGCATTTAGTTTACTGGTTTAGCTATAAAGAAGGAACAGAGCACTGACTGACGGCACGCTCACAGAGACCTACGTAACTTATTCACTGATTTACTAGTTGAAAGTAAGACAGCCATTACAAAATGTTATTAATAAAACAAACCATACCACAAAGAGCTGCATATTCACATACACACAGCACGCCATCATCAACTGATCATTCACAAACAAAGGTTTTAGATTCATTTGTCTTCTGGTTTTGGGCTTCCGTAAGTCACTAATCAATACAGTTAATGCGGATCTAAACCACGCATGAGCATCAATTCAAGCCCACACATCTGAAATACCTCACTTCCATACCCACTGAGTTCCAACTTCATGATTTTTACATTCCAATTTGACTTCTGATAGTTGATTCAAATCTACCAAAAACAGTCCAAGAAGGCTTCAAGGAAATATATGCACTGTAAAAACATTTGGCATTAAAGGAAGATAATACTGGTTTATTTTTAATAAATAGTTGCCAACTGCTTGAACAGCCAACTCTCACCATTAAAAATGGAAGGTAGATTTTGATATAACAAAGTAAAATCTCTGGCATTAGCATGATGCCTAAAGCACTCTGATCCTATGGGGCTGGAGCAAGCAGAGCTCCAGAAGGCACAATCCACATCCTCACCTCCTGGCACACAGAAACCAAGTAGGAGAAAAACAGGGTCCTTTCCACTGTGCTGGAAGCGTCACAGAGACCATATTGCGACCATCCTGAACTGTCCCTCCAAATGTTAATCCAAATACATTGCTACTTTCTGCGAGGGATCAAAAACATTCCTGCTTGGCCCACAAAGCTTTATTTCAGCCGAGGAACCTTTCACTGCAAAAGTTTTACCCTCTGCTCATTGTCCTATTTTCCTTTGCTCCTATTGCTCCTATTTTCCCTTTTATCTTAAGTTTTCATGTAGAGTTGTTCTTTTCTGGAGGGAGACAAGGTTAGGCTCTTGCTTACACATTCCTCAACTCTTGTGAATTGGAAAGTGAAACAAACTAGATACTAACACTGAAAGCCACTAATCTAATTTTGCTATGCAGGGAAACAAAAGGAGCAGTTGGTAGTCTACCAGAAGCCACAGGGGTTTTTTTAGCTTTAATATTTCCAGATATGCCTAGTAATATACAACTGTGCTTTGCTCAAACTTATTCATATTCAAAGGATGGGATTCACAAAGATACAAGCACGATAGCATGCTCTGTGAGAGAAGACTTAATTTGTTACAGCAAAACAGGGCCCCACATCCACAGATATCCTGCAACAGATTCGAAGCCTTAACTCCCTTTTATTTATTTAAAGCTTTGCAGGCATCTCATACACTGGTTCTTGTCAGCCCTCCTCCTCCTTTTCTTTGATCTTTCCCAATAGTTGAGTTAGCTGAAAGAGGAGAGGACAGTATCAGGGTGTCAATGTTACAGACTCAACAGCAGCCCTCTGCAGACACATCACCAGCAATCAGACACAGTCAGCATAACAAAGATACTACGGAGCTACGCAGCGTAAAAATCAGTGCCAATGATTCATTCCTTGTAACTTTGGCAATCGCATTCTTAAAAGGTGGCCTCCAGTTTTGTTTTGTTTTTTCTTGCTTTCTTAAAAGCAAAATTCCCCTCCATAGCTACAGCAACAGCTTTTTGAAACCTCAGGGCTAGCTTCATTGCAGGCCTCATTCTGACTTCTCAAAGTTTTAATTCTGTGCTCTGTCTTCTTTCTCACAAGCACTGAGGACACACTATAATTATGATGGATCTTAGGTTTAACGCTTGGATCGAGCATAATGAATCACGGTGAAACTCTACCTGAGAAAAACAAAATGACAACTCACAAAAAAAAAACAAATTGCCAGATTTATTCAAAGAGCATTAACTTGGAATTTAGCTCTTGATTGGAAGAGCTTCACCTTTACTTCATCATTGATGGGACACCTCAGAGAAAGGAATGAATATCTGACTGCGACTACCCGGTGACTGCACTCTGAAGGTTTTTTATATTTATTTAAACTGTAGGCAGAATTGAGCTGTGCAGACACAGCTTGAGAACAATAACGTGTTTTCTTTCAATATTTGGACTTATTTTGTTGTTTCTAAAATGTATTTCAGATCTTACAGGGCTAAAGGAACAGTTACTATTGGAAGTCTGTTAAAACACGCTACTTTTGCAGCACATAAAGCAGTTACACTGAAAATTAAACTTAACCTGAAAACTTCTCACCATATAACATTTTTATTAGTATTTATCAGATATTTATTGTCAGTGTTTAACAAAACTTTCAGTGCTGTCAGCTCTTTTTCCATAGAAATACAGAAGAATTACTGTGTTGCAACTTTACTTTTTATTTCCTTCCCTTATTTTTTGTTCACTCACTTCCAAAAGAATTTGGGTATAAAAGGAAGACTGAAATCTTGCCATCATATAACTCAAAATATCTTTCTCTGTGTAAAAGTTCAGGATAAAAAAAAAAAATAAAACTTGATGTATTGGTGAAGGTGGAAAGGAAAACAATCCACGTAAACAGCAGTTTGGAATTAGTGAGGAGGTAAGAAGGCATTAAGCTCATTTTATTGCATTGACTGGCCAAGCACCAGAGGAAAACAAGTAAGAGGGAATAGGATGCTCATGGTTTAGTTACCTTTTAAAATCTGCTAAATAGAAGGAGCTTTAAAAGCGTCCTGAAATTGTTTCTGTTTCCCATCCAACTTTATTTTGCTAGAGGAGGGAAACAACAGAAAGGCACTGA